GTTTGTTCCAAGGATGTTTGTTAACGTTAATAGAGTTGTGAAGCTTTCCAAAGTCATCAGTAGGAGTAATTATAGCGGGTTTATTCGTCGATTGCATGTTAACGTTAATAGAATTGTGGAGTTTTCCAAAGTCATCATTAGGAGGAAATGTATTTAGTTGTCTAGCAGACTCGCTGTACAAATTTTGGGAACTATTTTGTTTTGCCAAATTGTCAGGAATAGTAAATGGGTTCGTCTGTTTCTCAGCTGTGTCGTTCAATTTTTGGAAATTCTGAACTTTTCCGGAATCTGCAAATTCTATTAAATTTACATCCTTTTTAAGATTCTTATTGCTCTCGTTAAAATTGAATGTGTTGTGCAATTTTACAATATCATCATATTCCGAGGGGTTCATTTCCCTCTTTCCGTTTTCATCCTTCAGCGATGGATTTAATCCTTTTTGGAAGTTCTCTTCCTGTATTAGCGCATTAAACCTTTTTGCAAAGTTCAAATTATCATCATTGTCTTCTTGTCCGTCTTCTATTAATCCTATCAATTTTTCTTTAAGGAGGGCATTTCTCTGTTCTGCAATTACTTCTTCATCTTCCTTTAATACCCTACGAGCTGTTGCAGCTGATAAGTTGTTTTTGCCCTGTTCTTCAATCCATGATTTACCGATGGCAGATGACTAAGAAGTGAGGGCAAAATGAGTTGATGTATTAAAAAGTAGGTTTATTTACATATTCGGAGAATTTTCAATTCAGAACAAAAATGCGCAAAATTGGAATATATATACTGAAAGGAGGGGAAAGAAGGAAGTATAAAATATTATGCGCGAATCGGCATTATACCTCATTAGAATACTGGCATAGCCACACCAAAAGGGAAACCGCGAAAATTTTAGTCACGGATGAATACTGCGTTTTTTCCTTCATGTAACCCTCTTATATGTTTCTAAAACATTTCCAATATTACAGTTTTCTTATACATTATGAGATTTATAGTAAATTTCTGTGCTTATTTTTATAGATTTACCATATTTCTGGCAATATAATAAAAAAGAAATAAACACTTCAATTTTCCTAAATTATGCATAAAAATATATATAAGAAAATATATAGTAAAAAAAGCAAAAGGCTGAATTAATTAAAAATATTCTAGTAAACATTTTATTATGTACTAATAGCAGGAATGGTAAAAAAATAAATAAAATAAAATGAGTACAAAATATCAAAAATATATGCAAAGAATTTTTTACTCATATCACGCGTATTTATGTGGTATCTATTTTTACTGAAATGAAATACGTTTTACCCTTAAATTTTATTTTTTCGAAAAAAACGGAAAAATACATAACCTAAAAAGGAAAGTGAAAAAAAAAATATTTTTTTTTTGCATCTTTTTAGGTATAAATTGGATAATGAAATACATGAAAATGCTTTACTTATATTTATGTAAATAAAATTAGAACAGGTGAGTAATGGAATGCACATTATTCTGCAATGAAAAATATATAATATAGAATTAAAAAATAAAGTAAAAAGTAAGCATTTTCAAATTGTAAAATGAATCAAGTCTCATAAAATATTTTTAGCAATTTTCTTAAATAGTATAAATCACAAAAAAAACATGATAAGAAAAAATAAATTAAAAAAGAATTTGTAGTTCCATAGTAATCATAAATGCCCATGTAATGCAATTTATGCGAAAAATAACTTCGCTCTAATAATATATTGAAGCCTAAAACTTCTAAAATGTAATTTATTTAGAAAAATAATTATGAATTTATGGAGGAAAAAAACGAAGGAAAAAATCGATTATTCAAAAAGTATGTTGTGAAATAAATTCAAACTTTTCCTAGTAAATCTTCTATTATTATATTTCGTCGAATGCTATCATTGTAAATCTTATACTCCTATTATGAAGATTTAAAGAATAGTATTTTTCGAGGGAGGAATATGTATATTATACGCGGAAACCCATCCAAATTGACGTAACAGGATGGGCAAAAATAATATTTCACCCCCCCACCCCCCAAAACATTTCATAGAGACGCATATTTTTTTTCAATTTTCTTTTCGCCTTGTTCCTACCAAAAGGAAACGTATGTAAATACAAAGTTGATTAAAAAAAAAAAAAAGTAATGCGCTGCGGAATAATTGCTTTAGTCAATAGTGTGTGTTGCCTCTGCGCTATGAGGTAGTACTTGGGTTGATTAAAAAAAAAAAAAAGTAGACGTATATATATATTCTACGCAGACGATGAATACTATATAGTTTGTAAAAAGGTATAGAACGCATAATTTGTAAAGATAAGAATGGGAAAGACATATAATTATAAATACCTATTAACATGAAAAATATGTCCTGAATTTGATGACATTGCAGGGTTAGGGGGCATTAAAATAACTTTTTCGTAGAAAAAAAAAATACTTACAAAGTTATAAATTAAGCAACAGATGATAAGGATTCAACGTTATAGTAGAAATAAGTAGTTCGCCTTCTCATCAGAGAACTAATTTGTGCTCACCGAACTTGTTCTATTAGAGTATTATTTTTGCCTAATTGCATTATTGCGCTATACGATATGCCATTTGGGAAACTTGGGTATGTATAGTACACGACGAAAAATGGGATATTGTTATGAAAAGTACATATTTGCGTACTTTCAATATGGACAGAAACTATTGAAGGTTACGTATAAATGAGCAAAGGAACTTCATATAGTTCTCTATAGAAAGTATACATAGCAGGAATAGAACTGAACATTTCTAATAATAGAATAACACATAAACAACATATGCTGTTCTTATTAAAAGTATTACTCTGTGTTGTCTCCTAAAGTATATAAGGACCTCTTATGTCAAATTAGATGTTTACAGGGGGATTATGTTTTGACCAGCTAAGTAACTTACGTTTCCTTCTGGGCTATTATTTATAAGGCATGTTTATAACAAGCGCTGAAACGGGTGTGTGATTTTTAGTTTAAAACTTCTTCGCACTGTGTAATTTCATAAATATTTGTTAACGATGGTTTCACTACTATTTAGGTATGAACATTAGGAATAGTTAAATTATTCTCTTATGGGCCACGCAACTAGCCATTTTAACTTAATTGTGTATTTACCTGGGGAGTTTTTCCTTAGTTATGTGGTGTCCCTCTGACATGTACTACTATTTTAAACAGAAACATTTTGTGCATACTTCAACGGTGTAATGTTGACGGTGAGATGTCTATATATATTGCCCATTATAGTGATAAACAATGAATACCAAATCTTAAATGCGTCAAAAGGTGAATTAGAAATGTTTTACAAGAAAAATGCATATTGTAATATTTCTCTCTTGGGGCATTGTCGTAGTAATTCTTTATCATGAGAATTGATTTTCTGGAAAAATCGTTTCAAAAGTTTCGAATAACGATGAAATATATATTCGCTGCATATAAGTTATAGAAATAATAAAAATATAGGTATCATATGAATATTTTCTTTTATGGAGTATAATGAATTGTTTACCTTGAATTGGCCATTATGTTTACTTAATGCCACATACTGGCGTGATAGGTTATAGTTCATTTTGCACTTTCAATATTGATGGGTCATCGGATTTATACATTTCTATTTTATTAACTCAGGATTTTTTGTCCTTAATAATGATAAGACACATTTCTAATGCATTGTTTTAAATGCAACATAGGTTTCCTTTTAGTTTTGCCTGAGGACTTTGTGGTAATATGAACATTAACTGTTCGCAAACGCGATGTATTAATAATTTACACAAATGCGATTTTATCAGTAAAATTATGCCATACGGTTGAAAGAATTAATAATGGGCTTGAAGTTTTATTTATCTGGTTTTTTCATTTCGTTTCATATATTTCGTTAAAAGGATGGGCGCCACTAATTTGCATAATACGCAGCCCTTAAAGCACAAGTATAGGGAGATATATATGTATGTATCGAATTCCCACGGAAAAAGCAACAATTGTAAGAATGATTGCTAGTAAAGAATGTCGAACAAAATTCTGCATGAATTGTTGGATGAATAATTATGGAAATGTATGAAGAATAAGGGAGGGTAGGAGATGACGAAATAACAAAAAATAAGTTAATATAGAAGAATCCTTGATAAAGGGAACCTAAGAGAAAAGGGGTACGGCAATGTAATGACATATATAGTCGTAAGAACCGAACAAATTAAGGTCACACATGTCTGTTTATAGAGCTTAAGAATAACTGCAGGCACTACTATCACAATTGCAGGAAAAAATAAAGGTAAAAATAGACAACGTCAATAACGGCAGTACTAATGTTCTGTTCTTAGACGTGAAATTTCATTTATGGATAGGTGTGAACATTCTTTTATTGAAACAGTTATCCTTTTCTATTTAAAGCAGTTAACAATTAATATTTTTACTGGTTCCCTTTCACATATTACCGTCATTTACGCACTATTATGCTAATTCCTTATGGCATAGAATAATTAACACACCTATGCATAAAGTTCGATGTGAAGAGGCTCTCATATTAATAATATCAATAGTTTATTCTTTTATTTATGTTTCCTTCTACGATTAACACTAAATTGAAACATATCTATATGAAAAGAATAAAATGAAAAGATCGAAAGGACTGGATGTGATAGCTAAGAGTATATGTGAAAGCAATAAATTAAAAAATGCTTGTTGGATTATGATAGAAATATTTATTTCTAAAAAAAATTGGCTTATCACAAAGTAAAAAAAGATAAATAGGACTTGTACCGGCTAGTAATGTAATACCGACGTTGGAGGCAGGATACATCTGGTCCATTTCATTCATAGATTTATTCTTCCCCTTCTTTCATTTCTTACATTGCAAACTCTTTTTTCTTTCGAAAGAAATGTTACGGTTCCTTACCATACATAAATAACCTCCTTGACACTTCTTCTTATTAGCGGCTCAAAACATTTTATGATAAAGAGCGCATTCTTTTTCAGATGCTGTATATAATAAGAATTTCTGATTATTTTGAGGCTCGGAGGCGTATAAGTGTATTTTTCAATAAGAGAAACTAATCATATTAATCTGAATCTTCTTTCTATACGTTCAGGTATATATATATGTTTACATATTTCTACATATATATCCTCTATATACATATTTTTACCGATATATTTTTATGTACATATTTCTATACGTACATATCTTCATACGTACATATTTGTACATAGATATTTAGGTACATATGGGGGCGACAAAACTTAAAAATATGTCAACAACCATAATTTAAATACATGCAGGAATGGATTATGGTTTCACTGTATACAAAATAAAGATACATGCTTAAAGAATAGCTGTATTAAGAAATCCAAAAAGTCAAATGATTGCTAAAAAAAAAACGGAAAGGGGTTATTGCGTAAAGAGCAAAAAAAATAAGTAAAAATAATTCTAAGAAGCTTTGTTTCAATATATATTTAAATTGAAGCTATACTTTTCAGTGAAGCAAAATTTTAATCACATTACAGCTGTTGTTTTTGACGAAAATACGCTGCATTCAGATTAATTCCAGTATACCTTTCAATTTGAATCATTTTTAAACCATAACGGTATCTATGTATAATATATAGCTATATATTTTTCTATTTGTTGTAAACCTCACAACAAAAGTATCTATTTGTATAAAAATTAAGAATTGATTCTTCGCGAGGACGGAATTGCGTCATTTTCCTGCTACAAAAATCTGTATTAAGAAATATATGACAAGTTACTTAATAGAACTGTCAATTTTTTTAAAAAAATACTAAAAAATTAATTATTCATTGCAACATACTATTCACTCGACCTTTTAAAAAAATAAAAAATTAGTTGAAAGAGTATCTGCATTTCAAGCGTCAGTTGCAACTACAGGAAATAAGCACAACTAAAAGAAAATTGTTTAATTTGTTTTATTCCTCTTGTTATCCATAAAATCAATCTGTAACAAGGCAACAATGAATTCAATTACACTTCTATTAAATATTATTGCCTTATTCTTCACGTTTTGGCAATCTGACTCTTCGTGTGATATAAGGTAAAGTTGATGCGTGACCATCAGTTTTACATAAATATGTGTTCATTAATACACAAATATGCATGTATAATAATGAAAAATATTTAATTTTTAGTTAAAGGAACAGATGAAAAAAAAAAAAAAATAATTAGAGAAATAATTTTACGAGCACACGATTCAACATATTTTTCCCCCTTGCCAGAGGTCCTTTTAAACGTTCGATCCATACACAACATATAAGTGGAGGTAAATTAGATCCTAGAGTCGGAAGAATTTTGCATGAAGCGGATGAGACTTCGACTGAGACCTTTAGCAATAGTAACATACCATATGTGACACTCGTTGATTCTTCGGATTCATATATAGATTACGTTCAGTTGCATGAAGTGGAAGCGGAAGATATAATACAATCCGAATTTCTTCAAAAATTGAGTAGCCAATGGTACGGGGCTATCATAGAAATGGCATCTGAATATGTAGATTTCACAGAATTGATGGATGCCCAGTGGAGAAATAAAATGTGGACTGATATATGGGTTAAATATCTATCCAGGATAAGTCATGATTTGGACATTTATTTTTCGTACACTTTCCTACCTATAAGTTGTAAACAAGAAATTTTTAATAATTTACTATGTTTAACTAGAGACGATTTTAAAGCATTTTTGAGCACAATTGATGATAAATGGAACGAAGAATTAAATAAAAATGCTCTGTGAGGAATGTCAAATGAAAACGATGCATTCAAGTAATACGAACCGAAGGGGAAAAAATAGTGTCTGTTAAGGCGTTTGTACATTCAACATGTTCATTTACTTTAAATGTTTGAAATTAATTTGAATAGAATTTATAACACATGGAATGGAGACAAAAGAAGAAAAAGAAAAAATTACACTATATGATAGGGCAAGAAAATGCAATTTTCTGCTCCCCAAATGTATTCCGTGTTAATGTTTTTATTCCTACTGGTAAGTCGATATATGCTCCCGCATAATGACATTTGCCTATCTTATTCATTCAAAAAAGGGGGAAGTCCGCTTTATGTAGAATAAGAGAAAGTGCCAAGTTCCGTACAGATATAAAATAATCTCTTATTTGATTGCTATTGCTAGCATTACACATTGTCTGATATTGTAAACTGAATAAATAGCACGATCGAAGCATAAAATAAGCAGTATTTTTGCGGAAGGAACGACTACAGAAAGTAGCCATTACAAAACATTTTATGGACCAGTTCATTTTTTATTTTTTTACACATGGTAGCACGTTCAGCGTAAATGGCACGTGGTACTATATCATGAAAGCATATCATAATTATTGGAGAATGGGGAAAAAATCAAAATGTAATGAACGATTGAACATGTTAGAGAAAGGCAGGAAAAGGGAGAAAGTTTTAGTCCAGACTAGGTAAAAAACGGAGAAGAAAAAGAAAAAAAAAGAAAACTTTCGTAGTCTTAAGAACATAATATACGTATTATACATATTTGTCCGGTTGTTATGCAGAATGAACAGCATATGAGTTGTGTGATAAGCATATTCTTTCTGAACTTTTTAGAAAGCTACACTTATACGCATATAAACACTTTGCAATATTTAACACAGGGGATCACTTCACTTTTTTGTAAGTGCAATATGTAGGTATGCAGATGCACACATATATATAATAAGTGCAGTTTATACTTTACGTTTTTCTTGTTGAAAATGCAGCGCCTTCATAGAATAGTCTTATTTTTCCGTTTATTATTATGTAATAATGTAATTTTTTTCTTCCCTTTTTCTTATTTCTTCATTTTTTTGTTATTTTTTCCTTGTCCTCTTTTATTTTTCTTCGCTTGAAACAGTATACAATTATTTTAGTAAATTATTTTTTTATGATTATGCAGTCATCATTTGTTACAACTGATTGGTATATAATGAACAAGTAACGCTTTAATCAATGCTATAAATAATTTATAAGTGCTTAGAACGGGAACATTACTGTATTGCATAAAATGAGCAGACACACCATTTAAGGGTTCATGAGCAGAATGAGGTTGCTATTAATAAATATAACGTGCACTATTTAATTTTAGTCCATGTTGTTAGTTAGGTACAGATATACATAGACATAGAACGCCCTCAATTAATGGACTTTTGAATAGAAGAGCCATAGAGATTCGATATAATTGGTGTTCCTCTATAACATGTCATAAGCACATCATAAAAACGCCCACCTTTTTTCTCTTTCTGGTTGACAGTGTATCCATGTTAGGCGTTGAACGATGCATTACGGAAAATTGCCTAATTTGGGAACTGAAAGTAGTAGAATATTTCGTTAGAGCAGAGAGTTGAATTACAATTTATAAAGGTTTTGTCAATTTTATTGTTGAAATAGGAGTACATTTTCTGCATTAAGGAGAGGTCATTATATTCATTGCATAACAGTTCAATTAAAATGGAATGTTAATAATTGGACATAGTTATAGAGTGTGATAAATTTATGGCACACAAAACATTCAGCCTGGTCCCCTTCAGAATTATTTATAATTGGACATGTAAAATGTTCGTTATTGCTGTAAAACGAAGTTCAAATTTTTCCCCTCATTCTGCATGTAAAGAGGTTTTCCAGACCAGAAGTTAATAATACAGGACATCATTTTTTTTAATGACGCCTATTTTCATTTTCGGTATCTCTATTTATATAGATAACGTGGTCCATTCTAAAATTGAATTTTTTATATATCGGTATATATATTCATGTCATTTCTATCGACAGCAACGACACAGTGACGATTATGGAACATCTAATATAATGACATTCATGGCGTACACACTAAGGAGTTATAATAAGGAAATATACCATTAGTGCTATAATAACACAGAGAATGTCTAACGTTGGTCAATGGAAAATGATTATAACGTGGAGGGAATGAATTAAATAGGTATATCTATAGTATGGAGGGGTATGGCACATATGAACGTGTCGTGAAGAGATAACCTTCTGCACAAGAAGGGAAGGGAAACCTTTGAGAAGGTGGAAGATGAAGTAGTTGCTAATAGTTCTATATAAAAAGAATTAAATCAGTTTTTATATGTATTTTGTAGTTTTCAGAACTTATAAATTAATAAAATTGTTTTTTTTCACTTGGTCTATTATGTATAATGGTGAGCCTCTCGAATGTATTTGCGCGTTATGAGGTGCAATTAGATATCATAACTGAAAAAGTTACTTCCTTGCTGTTATTTAAACTTGGCTATGTATTCTTAATTTTAATGATTCCTAAATGAAATTTCTCATTTGCTCTCTATTTTATGATAGGTAGCCTCACAAGAAAAGGACAGAATTGTGAAAAATTATATCTGGCGAAGGGGCAAATTATTACAACACAATTGCATCGTGCAGCAAGTTCTCGCAGTAGAACTAATGATTTGTGTGTGTCTAATGTGCTTTCGTACTGTCAGGAACATCCTAAACTATGTTTTGGTAATCCTTACAGTAATAATTCCTTAAATAGACATGTATTAACAATCCGACGAAAAGCAAAAAAAAAAAAAAAAAAAGAAAGCACTATTTTATTTGTATGCTTTAATTATACAGCTGGGGAAAAAAATTGTTACACATTTTACATTATTGTAGCACTCAAATATGTATAGGGAGTCACTTGAGTTTCATTTAGAACAATAATAATTCAGAATAATTCTTCTCATAGGAAAGAATATTAAATTTTGTAAATCACTAAGTATACTCTGTAGCAGATGTAGAATTAAGCACCAGTAGACATAGTCCTTATATTCAAGAAAAAACAACACATAAAATTTTATATAAAAAATGTGTCATTTTCTACCTATTTTAAAGTACGAATTAGTAGTGAAAATATATGTGTAGAGGATGTTTCTTTTGGCATTTTAATTAAAAACGATGTGCCTATGTGTAATCGTAGATCACGAACGATATTTTTACTTCCATGAAATAAACAATTCTATTACTAAACGATATAGGAGCATGCATATTTAACATTTTTTATGACCAACGTTTGTGCAAACAGGAATTGGAAAAAAGTGTTTAAGTATAAAAATTGCATTGAGTAAGTTTACTACTCCATATGTATGTGCGATGGTTTTTAGTGAGTATTTTTTAGTATTCTACTCCATGTGGTCAAAGGAAAATGCACGAACAAGAGGTTCAAACGTCTTTGATTAAATTATGTGATACAAGATGGTTACATTTAAATACATGATTTACGAAAAAGCAAGAACACATAATAATATAAGGAAGATTGCCCTCGTTTAAAGCAGCATCCTTTTAAAAATGTAGCGGAAGAAATTATATCTTTTTATTCCTTCTTTAGTCGATGTAAATCATTGCGCAACTTTTATTTTTGCGCCACGGGTAAATATAAAGATAACAATTATATGTATATGCGATATTTATGCCGATGTAATAATAGAGGATCTAGTAGATAATTGCAATTTTGATTTTTAATGAATTTACTTGTACTCTTATTTCATGTTTCTTTGTTCTGTATAATCTTCTTACTTATATATACGGTTGGAATGTAATAGGTTATTTCTTGTACGTGACAAATACGGGGAAAGTACAATTTAGTGAGATGTCTCATAAACGTCCTTGTCAATATGAATTGTTATCGACACTGGGCTCATTTATGACCAAACGAAATTATGCAGCGGTGTGTGTCTATTTGTCTCTTACACAGGGATTATTATTTAGTAAAATGCGCTGAATTGTTTATCTGAATCTAAAAATGAAAACAGCCCCATGAAACATAGGAAAATAAGGACCGTACTGAAGCAACGTCGATTATGGTATGGTATTGAAGAGACACTCATGGGTGGGTATTGTATGAGGATAAATCAGGTCCACCTCATTACTTGAAGTAGCTGCTCCTTTTTCTCCTTTTTGGAAAAATTGCTAAATTCGCTATTATATTGTACTTTTGTGCAAGGGACAAATTATGAAACAAATTCATAAGTGTTCAGAGTTCACATAAGATTAGCGATAGTAGTTATTTATAAATCATAACTCTGTCTCATGGTACGACATAATAAACTGTTCAACTCTCTATTGCACGTGTGTAGTATTAGTCGGGATTCCTCCATCCTGTTGTGTACACGGATATTTATATATCATAAAGGAACAATCCTCATGGATTACTTCGTATAGAGAAATATATAAACACGAATTTATTTAAAGTCGTGTTCATACTAGGTTCAAATTGAGGAAAAGGATGTATACTTAACTGTGTGGTAGAGAAAGAACATATATCCCAGAATTTAATGTTTTGTCATTCAACTTATTAACAGCTCTATTGTTAAGTTTGAGATCTATATTATCTGTTTATAATGGATCAAAGGAACCCTTTACATGCGGCGTATGCCAGTTATTTTCAACTACGTTATAGAATGAAGATTGTGAAGACAGAATGTAGGTAAAGATACATTGGGTAATGAATAGTAAGAATATCAGACTACATAAGGATAGTTATTATAACGTAGGAAATTATGTCTATTTATCTGATTGCATTAGTCAGTATAGAAAAGCCTTAATCTATGAAGAGTATCTATGTTACACGGCAGAAGAGGATATATGACACATCATCTGTGACACCACTCTTTGCCTACTATTAGCCTCAATACTTGATTGCATCTCTACTCACAGAAAGCCTAAGAGTTATTACGTGTTAGGAAAATGGTGTATAGTCAATTATGCACAAAAAGTACAAACTGGTTTATAATGCAACTGGCACATTCTAGAGCGACTAAATTAATGGCCTTCCAATGCGTGAATTTGTTCGTGAAAATTGCGTCACCGGAGACCTGATGTCACTAAAAAAATGATATTCAAAAGGAATGGTATAAATGTGAAAGGAAAAAGAAAGAGGGGGAACTGTGAACGAGCAGATATCGTAAAGTCATGGAAAAGCGATTGCATGAGGAGGAATAAATGTCCGACAGGACACTTACCCCCATTAACATTGATGCGAAGTTTTGTAAAATAATTATGATAACAAAAAAAAAAAAAAAAAGAGAGGGATGCATGTCAATACAATGTAATATATAAACATTGCGAGTGTGATTATTTGCCAATTCTTTCCATGTAACATCTTCTTACACATTCAATTTAGCGCATTAAATTTGGAAATGTGTGATAAGGAGTCCGTATGGTGACTATATGTTATATGCTATATAGCACCATATTCGTTTTTTATAGCCTTAGATAACAATTCATTGTTTTCATGGAGACGCTAGGAGTCCATTAAAGAATACACTAACAATGGAACTAATGCTAATGAGGCAAATAATGGAAAAAAGGCGACATTAATAAGTTGCATTGCTGAACAAATTGCAATTCCAGAAAAAATCCCTACTGGTATCGAGATAAATGGAAAGAATATTTTCTGTTTCCTTGACGACGATAAGAATTTCCTGTGCTTACGTGGACGTTTACAGGAACGGCTGCTGCTACACTGTAGGCTGTCACTTTTAGAATTCAGCGATTCTAATTCATGTGTCGACATTTTTTTCTTGGGCATTCTAATTAAAATCAATCTAGATTTTGGCTTCACTGTTCTGTTGTTTGTATAATCCTCAAAAGTTTGTTTCAAATCCTCATTGTGCTCTAAATTACAGGGAATATCATGCTCTATTCCGTAAAGCGGTCTCCCCGCATAATGAACACTGCCTCTTAGCTTCTCCCTCTGATTATCATTACAATAACCCCTGCATCTTATATTGCTCCCTTCGCTTTTATATTCCTCATCGGATTCTAATTCTTGAATCTCTTTTTCTTCTTTATGCTCCTGAATTTTTAATTTGTCAAAATGTCGTTCGAAGTTCTGGCAGGATCTGAATTTATTACCTTCCGCATGGGCACAGTCATTATCATACAGGGGAATAGGAACTTCCAAGTCAAGCATGGCATTATCTTTTAATATATGAAATTGCTCCTGAAAATGCTTATCTCGTATTACGTCTCTAGATTGTTCTTGAAAGAGGTCATCGACTATTAACACATTAAATAGTCTTCGAAAATGATAATCATGTGATAATGCATTGAGTCTTTCCCTGAAATCGTCATCATCTTCCTTTAGTAAATTAATTATTCTTCTTTTTAAATTGGTGTTCCTGAGGTTCTTTTCATGCAATATTCTTCCAAATTTTTTATTTAATAAATTGTTTAATTTGCTTTCATTGTGGTGTACAGTACTTGGGCCTAGTGACTAAAAATTGAAGTAAAATGAAACAATTTATCACGGGTAATTTCTTAAGCAATAGGAAACTTTCGATTTTTCATGGAAGTACAAGTTGGTGAAAGGTGTTAGTAAAATATAACGTGCAGTAGAGAAATACCTTATGGTAGCATTGCCATGTGCTCATTAAAAGCGAGAGGGTAAGTGCTTTTCTGAACGTGATCATAATTGCCTTTTATTTTCATATGGTATCTTTTAAGGCTGCCTAATTATCTTTTTGAATGAATCTCTTTTGTATATACAGATGAACATATATGTGCAGGTAATACATATATATATGCATTTCCTAATATTTAAGGTAACCCATATAGGAGTTTTTTGTTTTTTCTATGATTTCCTCATATAAGACAACGTCCTCGTTTTAATTAAATATAATAAACGTCGAAGCTTCTAAAATGAAGAAGGAGACTTTCAATAGAAATATATTACTACACGCTTCATATAAAAATATTACAAATTGATGGAGGCGTAAAGTAATTTGTACAAAGAAATATTATGAATGTTACCAAAATTACAATTTGGCCACGTCTCAAAAGGTTCATTTTTAGAAAAATGGAACCTTCCCATAAATAATACAAAAAAGGAAATTCCTGTTTTATATTTAGTCAGAATTAAGGCACAAAGCTTAGAGAAATCTATTCTAAATACGCATAAGGAATTTTCGCGAAGTGCATTATTTTATTAATCGAGGTAGCAGCGAAATGATAATGACGTATTTAACGATTTTCCTATAATGTCCTAATCTATATAAATTTCTTTAAAGCAGTGCTATTTTTGGTATAGTGCCATGAATATTTCGAAATTAGAAAAGAATAAATGGAAAAGGAAAAAACGATGATGCAGTAGGCATTACGATTCCAGATTTTCTGTACTGCATAAATATTATGCAGCATTGGCATTATGCATATTTTAATATAAAAAAATTAATAAGGATTAGAGAATCATAAGAGATAAATTACTTGGAGGGGTCCAATTTTTTTTGTGATAATTGGAAAAGTTAATCGAATTTTAACACCACCCAACG